GGGGGGGGGGGGGGTTGGTGGCGGTAGTGGTCGTGGTCATGGTGGTGATTTCGGTGTCGTTTTATTGTCCAGGTCGGTGGTCGGCCGAATTGATGTATGTGCGGGTGGGGTTTTCGCCGTTTCTTAGTCTTGTGTGCTTCTGTAAACCCGTCCGTCGTATCTGCCCACCCATCACACGTTTTGTTTTTTGCCTGCTTGCGGAATGACCCCCGGTCGAACCTGGCGTCTGTGCGTTTTTCACCTGCGGCTTCTCTCGCAGCCTACCATATTTTTTCGGTCGCGTTTTTTGTGCTGTTGTTTCGTGTATTCTTGGAGCCCAGCGACTGAACTTTGCGTCTACGTCAACCTGGCTCTCTCTGGGCATGTGTCGGTGTGCCTCTCTGTCCTCGCCCCTCTTTCTCTTTGACGCCTACCCTCAAGTGTGATTACTTTCCTTCCTTCATCTCCTTGCGGCGTGCTTGGGCTTCTACGATCGGATGGACTGTTCCTCCATTTTCGTGCGTGCGTTTCGGGTGTCCATCGAGCCGTACTGCTGAACTACACTCGCCTCTTCCTCCCCCCCCTTTTTGCATCTCTTTTTCTCTCTCTGTCTCTCTTTCTCTGGCATTGGTATCTGCCCCTCATTTTGACCTCTTTCTTCTTTTGCTCTTCGCCCATTCTGTCTCAACACTCCGTTGGGCTGGCCGTCGGACTAAACCACAGGCTGTGCGCGTTGAGCTCCGGCAATCCCTCTTCGGTTGTGTCGAGCTTTCCCGCAGGAGATGCTCCCATGGTTGGCGTATGCCTCACGGTGAGACACCGTCCTTTCGTAGGCTTCGTGTTTCTGCAGGGGCACCGTGGCATAGCCAAACCCGAGCAAGAGAAAAAAAAAACTGCTGTTCAGGACTGTATGACGGACGACGAACCGATCCATGAAGAAGCACGAAATAAGTAGTCCAACAAGAGTGACACAAAAGCTTGTCAGCATTGCTGCTGTATCTCTTGAACACTTCCGACGAGCGCTTGTTCGCGAAGCCCCATGCCCTTCGTCGGGTATGCACGGAACACGCACCTTTGTCGACCCCGCACCCCAAACCCGACCCGACCAAATCCAAACAGGGAGACATCCCCCTGCAGGCGCAGGCGGGGCTGGCCCGGAAGACCCTGGGCGCCTTCGGCTTCAACGCAATCAGCGCCAGCGGCGCCGTCTGCGACGAGCTCTTCGTGCCGTCACAACCCCGAGCGGCCTGGTTAGATCCCCGGCCCTCGTCGATAAAGATGGACACCCTGGAGCGCGTGCAGGAGCAGGTCCGGGCGTTGGAGCAGCAGAGCCGGCAGGAGCGGCGGTGGCGGCGGCAGCAACAGCAGCAGCAGCAGCAGCTCGGCGTGTTCAAGGTGAGAGGCGTAGGGCTGGTGTATCTGGCAGGCGTTGCTGTGTTTTGGCGGCGGCGGCGGCGACGTCCTCCATGTGCGACGGTGTTCTTTGTGGTGCCCCCCCCCCCCCC